GAGCGCCTCCTCCATTTTCTGATGTTTGGCTTCGCTTGCTCGAGACAGGGCCGCAGAATCTTCAGGAATGGTAAGCCATTTTTCCTTGGACTGCAAGATGTCACCGATTGTAGATTTTCGCACTGAGTGTCCAAATAATTCACCAACGTGTTTACTTAGGAAATCTAAACTTGCTTTTGGATGTTCTTCCTTGTATCTTGCAATCTCTCTCTGTTCGAATGCGGTAGTCTCATTTCGTTTTCTTTTAGCAGGCTGACTCACCATGTTTGCTGACAGGTGTCAATCAAACTGTAAATGTACAGCTTCAGTCGGGAGCTTTTATGTGTAATTAAAACAACAACCCTTAACTGACATTTCTCAAAAGTTAACAAGAGTTCATCTTGTCAACTCAATGACACCGAGTGTTTATTGTTTGAGGCCAGTTAAGTAAACATCGCCGGGAGGTGTTGTTACGGTTCGTGAACACGACTTACAGCGTCCGGACTGTGAAGCAATTTACTGTTTATTTTACTGATTGGTGACAGCTACTTACCGTCCGGTTCCGGAAACCGAATTTCCGGATTATGGAGGCAAATTATATAGGCATAGATTGGTAACAAGCTGAAATCGTCTGGGAGGCGAGACATCCGGATTATCGGGGTCCGGACTAACGGGGCTTCACTGTACATAAAACATACTGATGCCTTTCTCAAACCTACCAGTGAGTTGGTTTGCGAGGGTTGACTACTTCCGATTAGAGTTATCTCCCTTTGGAGTGAGTTTCCTACAGGATTGAAAATGACCAATTCTGATATTGTCAGCAAGACTTTATTCATTTCATCTCCATGGATTAATATGATTATCAAGTTGGTTTGCTACTATCACAGTTCTATTGAAATAGTGTAGGCTAGTATTGAAATACAGTCGTTATAGTGAAAATACAGCCTCAGAAGAGTCACCCCGACTGTTGCTGAAGGGGTCGTAGTTGGCACAGGTACCGCAGATTTGTATCCCAGATACATTTTTATAAACAGAAACATACCCTAGCCAAAATCAGAATACAGAAACGTACCCAGGACGAGTCCATTCTGCATGGTGCCTTTTGTCTTGATCGGAACTGTAACACTGTTGTATAAGATGCATTTTGTTTGCGTTATATAAGAAACGCGCAAAGCAGTAACGAATATTTCACAGTTCACAACTCCAATCACAATCAGTTGAACGGGAACAACTACATACAGTTTCGGGGTGAGGTTGCGGAATATATGCGTGTCCAATGTTTAAGGCAAAGGTACATATCTGTAGTACCTGTTCCGACGACAACCCCTTCAGCCCAACTCTCTTTCATTAATCATTGTTTTTTTAAGTTCCTTTAGATGATTAAAATCCATGCAAGCATTGTCTTTTTGTTTACTTTATTAAACATGTACACAGTGTTACCAGACACTCATGATTCATGTGAATCATATCCACTGACAGTGTTAAAATCAATATAATGTTTTCGGACGTACATTTTAAAAATACTTTTTATAGGAATCTGATATTGAATTTTCATGTTGCCTAAGCATTATATTGGCTTTCAATTTTTAATGATATGGCATGTGCTGATGTAAGTTGATACTTATCCTAATCCTGTAATAATACTCAGTGATTTGTGTCTGGGTTGATTTAATAGCATCAGTGGCATGAACTGAGGTAATAAGCTGAATGGAAACACACAGTTCTTGCACAGCTGTTATTTTGTGTGGACCTGCGTAGGGCTAAAACAAAAAATGTTGTTGTTTCCGATTACCCGACCAACCCTTGAATTCTGGTACCGACCCTAGTTTTTTTAAGAGGTATGGATAAAATAAGCTTTCAGATACCATTGTTTTTGCCCGGCACCAATGAACATCGGTTATTCTGACAGAGAAAGTCAACATGATGGCCGCAAGCTTGATTGAAAAAACAATTATACATTGATAAATGTGTTATTAGTTCATACTTTACTTCTAAACAAAATGTTAAAAAAAAGAATTCCTACCTACCTACCCTAAAATTTAAAGAGGTGTAATTGGAATCACAACATTTTTTTTGTTTGGTCTTAATGGCCAATAGGACGGTCTGGTAGCCTAGTGGTTAAAGTGTTTGCTTGTCACGCCAAATGCCAGGGTTCGATGGGTACAATGTTTGAAGCCCATTTCTGGTGTCTCCTGCCGTGATATTGCAGAAATATTGCTAAAAGTGGCGTAACACTAAACTTAGGATTCCCAATCTGAATGTAACATGTTTCCAGTTCAACTTTGTTCATATTATTTAATTTGTATCTCATGGAATATCTTATCATAGGTTACATGCATTTCCAAAATGGTGGCAGAGATTTTATTTCTTTAAGTGGCATTTTTCTTAATGTTTAATTTTACATTTTAGCAATGAAAATGGGTACCCGGTAGGATATGTCATATGACTATTAACCTAGCGCCTCACAGGCAGCTTGGGTTATCCAGGAAATAATGTCCATCATGTTATATGCGCAAAGAGCATGTCCCAGCGCTAGAGTTCAGCGCTATATAAGTGGCGGCTATATTATTATTTTCTGTTGCCCAAGTGTTAGTCTGACTTTGCCCCCTTCCCCTGGTAGCTTCTGTCGGACTGTTCCCTCTATCTCATTTAGTTTGTGGTCAGCAACACCCATTCTTTGTATACCACCCCCACCACCAAAGAAAAAACAGAACCCTTGTAACACCTCTGGTACTTATCAATAAACACTAGGCATAGTCAAGCGATGAAGAATTGGTGTATATATTCTCACAGTACAACTATGTAAGGAATGTTGGAAGCAATTTGAAGATGGATCTGATACTCAAGTCCAATGAAAAATTAATTCAACAACTGTCATGACTACCTGACTCCCTGATGGGAGCATACCCTACATGAGTGTTTCTTGGTTTTGAAACTAAGCACCAGTTGCAGACATTTAATCTGGCCACCTCCGTGGAGCGTCCGACCGGAGAGAGGAAGGTCACGGGGTTGATCTCCAGTCGAGTCATACCAAAACACGTGAGTGAGTGAGTGAGTGAGTGAGTTTAGTTTTACATCGCACTTAGCAATATTTATATAGCACTGAGTTCCAGCTTGGCTGCTCAAAGGCGCGCTTTGTTTTTCCCTTGATCATTGCATGTTAATATCAGCGGCTCAGTGTATTATCAATCTCAACTCCCTGGGGAGTATACAGCTCTTGCAGCCACTAGGCGCACCGAGTTAATGTGGCTTTCCCTTCCTTACAAGGTACCAATTCACAGCTGGGTGGACTGGGATACATAGTCACAGTACTTTGTCCAAGTTTACTGCATGTTCCTGTACCCGCAACTGGGTGTTTGCACGTATTCTTGTGGCCACCATCTGGTCATTTACCAATGGATTCGTGGGTTCTTTTAAGTGCACAGTGAGTGAGTGAGTTTAGTTTTATGCCGCACTCAGTAATATTCCAGCTTTATGGCGGCAGTCTGGAAATAATCGAGTGTGGACCAGACAGTCCAGTGATCAACAGCATGAACATCGATCTACCCAATTGGGAACCGATGACATGTGTCAACCAAGTCAGCGAGCCTGACCCCCCCAATCCTGTTAAGTGTACAGGGTTGTGTACTGTACACTAGGGGTTGTAATAACACTGAAAGAGTCTGCACACAAAGTTGACTCCAAGGTTTTTAAACCCAGTCACAGGTGGGCTTAATCCTGGCACCTCAAGCTGGATTACAAACCTGGCTCCTTAGAGAGCTCCCCCACCATGCCCCCCATTAATGGGTAAAACAACAACTGGTCGGCTCAGAGTCAGTATACGTGTCTACGTGGCGCTAGCACTAGCAAACCAGCTTAAGTCTCAATTAGTACAAGTAGCCACACACACACACATGCACATTTTCATATGAGTGAAATATTCTTAAGTGCGATGTTAAACCCCATTTCAACTCACCTCACCATATAATTTCTCTTTATTGATCCTGGAACACCTGTGAAATGCATGTCAACTTTGCAAGACTATAATCGTTGTCATTATAAAGGTTTCATTACAAGGACGGGTAAATGCAATCACCATTAAGCATGATTAACTGCTTGCAAATATTACTCTCTCTCATCTTCTTAACCCACTCACTCCCCCTTCCCCCCTCCCCCCCTTTGAAGTCATTTATTATAATTTCTGATTAATTATATATAATAAATCCAGCTCATGTATGTAGTCACCATAAAAGGATAATGTTTGGCCATTTATACATTTGTTCAAGTTGCTTAAATATCACTTTGTTTGCTTGCACAAGTTTCATGGTGTGTATATACCTTATAATGACTATTCTAATTTCAAAGGCAATATCCCGTTTACATGCATGACACCAAGGTATTTGTCTAAACCTAAACTGTAAACCAGCAACAGACATTAACGACTGTGCTCATCCTTTTAAAAGTGAAAAATTATGTTATTAACTGGAGGTTCTTGTCAAGTGAGTGGTACTATTGATGATTTGCGACAAAATAATGACACACAATCCATGTTTTTGCCCATTTTGAAAATGACTCAAGGCATATTCTACCAAAACCCAGGCTGTGTCAACCTCACACCTGACATTTTCTTCATGCTGCCTGCAGGGAATGATCTTGAAACTCAGTAAAGGTCATTTCGCAATGAATTGGATTTGAGCCGCAGTAACTTAAAAAGTTGACAGATTTTGATTTCATTGAAATGTTAGACACTTTTCAGTTTCTGAAACCCAGGGATGAAATATACGGCAACAATTATTTTGTCCAGTTTGTCTGTGTTTTCCAGTGTACTTCTGCAAAATTAGACGTGAAAATCCCCCAATCCTTCTAGCTATTTCTATTATTGATTGAAAAAACATATGTATAAGAAGAACTCTAGGGCTTGGTTACTGGATGCATTCAGTGCTAAAGTTTCTTGTTGCTATGGCCAGTCACACTTCAGTTGTTTCAACGGTGAGCGGGTTCCACGCGAGGATGAAGAGTTTGTCAAGAGTCTCCTCTGCAGCATGTCCCGTGCCTAGCTACTGCTCATCTATTATTGAGACATCTTTATAGATCTCTGTCCCAGCCATGACGCGACACGTCGGCGTTCTTGTTTGGATGTATTGTTGAAAGAGCAGTGAGAGAGATCACACAGAACAACCACAGTGCTGTCAGTGTCAGCATGGGTGTAAGTGCCCTTGTGTGTGTGTAGCTGTGCAGCTGGCTGAACTTGACCGTCTGCTCCCTTCTTTCCTGGATTAGTAACACTGCTTCAGTACAGGTAGATGATGCATGTTATTGCTTAGTGCTGTTCCGTCCTATTATACGTGCCTGTTTATCAGCTTGACAGCGTCATGTTTTCTTTTGGTGGTCAGGGAACTGGAATTAAATTAGCACTTTTTTCTAGTCAGTTTTATGACAAAGGTATCCTCAGTGCTAGTTAATAATTCTGATTTTTTTTATAGGTATCTTTAAATATTATCACTCTTCCCCTGATACCGGCACCAGTCTGTTAATATGTGATTTTTGAAAATCTAAATTATCCTGAAATCTAGTTATTTAAGGTAACTATCTTGTCCAAGAATAGTTATGGACTTTTTGGATATGAATAATGGTACGCTATCTGTATCAGCTATTTGAATTTAAAAAAATAGATTACTTTTCATGAACGTGTTTGGAATTTTTTAAAAATCATTTGTTGACAAAGACACTTTTTTTTTTGTCTTGGTGGGACTGGACCCGTGAAGATCAGGGGTAGAATAGGTCTTCATCAACCCATGCTTGCCACAAAAGGCGACTATGCTAGTCTTAAGAGGCGACTAACGGGATCGGGTGGTCAGGCTCGCTGACTTGGTTGATATATGTCATTGTAAACCAAAAGTCACTGTGTTCTTTAATCTGATTGGTTGAAAAACGTGATCAAATGGTATTTGATTCCCGGAAGCACGGGAATGTTTCATTTGAAACCTCCGGCTGACGCTGTCGGTTCTAAATGAATTCCCGGGCTTCAAATACTCAATAACACCCGGAAATTGGCCAACACATGATGTTTATCTCCTAATCGGTTCCCAATTGCGAAGATCGATGCTCATGTTGTTGATCACTGGATTGTCTGGTCCAGACTCGATTATTTACAGACCGCCGCCATATAGCTGGAATATTGCTGAGTGGGGCGTAAAACTAAACTCACTCACTCACTCATTTGGTGGGACTGAGGTATCCATTACATTCTTTATTACAGGATGTTTTAGAACAAGTTGCCCGTGTTGAGAGAGTGAGTTTGGTTTAACCTTGCTTCTGGCAGTATTCATAAAGCCCATGTCTTGTGTACCCTGCCATCATATTACTGGAAAATGACTAAAAGCAGTGCAGTACCTTATTCACTGACAGTATTCACCAATATCGCATCAGGGATACGCCAGAAGTTGGTTTTAGTCACTGCACCCATATGTGAATTGAACCAGGTGCTTCATTGTAGTGAGTGAATACTTTGACCACTTAGCCACCTGCCATTATGTCGTTAACTGGTTTTTGATGCTCTAATGTATTGAAAATAATTTCCTCCCTTTTTGCATACATGGATCATATTTTTGGCTGACCCTCCACGTGTCCTTGGACATGTTTTTCTTGACCTTCCCTGAAATAATAAAATACAAAATCTCTTTTATCTTGTTGCAAAATGCCCTTGTCATGACTGTCCATACAAATTTGTATGGTATCTTATGACCAAACTCTCATAGAGAGTTTCCATTCTTCAGATATTGACTATTGTTACTGAAACCAGTAAATTTGGACGTTCATGATGCCTTTGTTCGGTAGAAAATTTCCGTTTGACTGTTATGCCAGTACTTCACATGTTCAGTATGGTTCATGGACCCATGAAGATCCGGGGTAGAATTGGTCTTCAGCAACCCATGCTTGCCACAAAAGGCGACTATGCTTGTCATAAGAGGCAGCTATCGGGATCGCGTAGTCAGACTCGCTGACTTGGTTGACACATTCATCGGTTCCCAATTACGCAGATTGATGCTCATGCTGCTTATCACTAGATTGTCTGGTCCAGACTCGATTATTTCCAGACTGCCGCCATATAGCACGACTGACTGACTGAGTTTGGTTTTACGCCGCTTTTAGCAATATTCCAGCAACATCACGGCGGGAGACACCAGAAATGGGCTTCACACATTGTACCCATGTGGGAAATCGAACCCAGGTCTTCGGCATGATGAGCGAACACTTTAACAACTAGACTACCCCACCGCCCAAAATAGACAAAGACAAAGTTAAATTTAAATATTTTAACCACTATGCTACCTCTGCTTGTCTTGAGTATCAGTGATAAGATGAAATCTTAGCAAGGATGACTTTGTATTTTACGACATTGATTTATCAGGGAATGTTTGTCCAACCTTGCGCAGAGACAGATATTTGCCCAAAAGTCTGCAGCAAGTGTCACAAAAATCCCAAAATCAGAATTTAAAAATTCCTACTTCATGTTGATATATATAACTGTTAAATATTATCATGGTTTTGTTGACATTACCGGGCGGTGGGGTAACCTAATGGTTAAAGCGTTGGCTCGTCACACCGAAGACCCGGATTCGAATCCCCACATGGGTACAATGTGTGAAGCCCATTTCTGGTGTCCCCTGCCGTGATGTTGCTGGAATATTGCTAAAAGCGGCATAAAACCAAACTCAGTCAGTCAGTCGTGTTGACATTACCTGTATTTCGGTGATAACAGGATGAATGTATAGGAAAATGCTTCAGTTTTACAGTAATACAAATACAAAATACAAATACAAAAAAATTCCTCTGATTTTTTTAAGTTTCCCCAAATCCCAATTTTGAACAAAATAGTAACATTCCGTGGATACCTGCCAGGGTAACTGTGTTAAGACTCCATGTTGTATTGCCAAAAATATATAACTATTAATATTAAATTATTTTTCTGCCACAGAATTATTTACATTTGTTTAGATTGTTAAAATTCAGTTTTAAACATTCAGTGGGTCAGTCTTATAAAAAGTTCATTTTTGTAATTAAGTTGATAAACTGCAGGTCTTGGTAATAAATTTTCATCTGTACACATGTAAGATAACTAGTTTAAGCAGATGATACAACTTCTCTAGGACTTGATTAACTTAATGTAAGACATTGACCTGGCATCTATTCTGTTTTATACTGCTGCAGAGGTAGACTTGCACAATCTCCATGGTAATAATTAATAGTTTAAATGTTTATTTCTAAAAATATAGATATCACTCTAACAGACTGGCATCCTCAGAGTCCGCTTATCTTGACCTGCCTCTTTAAGGATAGAATTACTGTACATCCATGCGCTTAGACTTCACACACCCTTGGAGCAAGGCTACTGCAGAGGTTACAACTTGTGGTGGTCTGATTAATTGAAATAATCGAAGATTGGTCACAGTGACTAAACGACCAAGCAATCGATCATGTTTTCTCATAATCGAACATAAACAATTCTGGAACTTTTTTAATTAACAATATTTTTCACAAGGTTGGTTTTGTCTCTTATTACATTTCATGAATATTACAAGCTCGTTCCAATTCATGATTGAATTTATCTTCAAGACCCATGAAATTTATGTTCCTAACATACTAGTCATCCTTTAAAGATGTTCAATTTGAAGAAAAAAACCCCAAAGAACTACCTGTTGTCTTTCTTTATGTTTTTGTGCAAACAAAAATAGCCAGGAAAATTTCATAACCACTTATTTTCGATGATTGATTGGTTGTAATGAACCAATCTCCAATTATGAGATTTTAACCTCACCACCTTACTGAATCCCATGTTACACAGTCTTACAAAGGATTTCATTTGCAGGAAATTGAAATATTTTCAATATTAGTTGCTTGGCTGTATTGATTCTGGAGTTATGTTTCCTGCTATTTGAACAAGGAAATATGAATGTCATGTAATCTTGGCTTCTTTGTACGATCTGTGCTTAAAGATTTCTTACAGATTAGTTTTGAAGTTGCTCAGGGGTGCTTATTGCAGAATGCCATGCTTAATATTGTAGATATGAAATGATAAATACTTTATATGGTAAATATATAATGATACATACTTAATATGGTAAATAAGAAATGATAAATAATGAATACATTTAATATAAAATGATAAATACCTAATATGGTAATATGAAATGATTAATACCTAATATGGTAATATGAAATGATAAATTCTTAAAATTGTGAATATGAAATGATAAATACTAATATGGTGAATATGAAAGGATAAATTATTAAAATGGTAAATATGAAATGATAAATACTAGGGCTGGTGTGATTCATTTGGTGTGTTTTAGGAATCCTTCATGAATTCAATTTTTATTCGCAATCACCAGAATAGAATATTTAGGAATTGTTAAAAATAGTATTTGTAACCTTAATTTGTTTCTTATTGATCGAACGGGGCGGTTTGGTAGCCTTTTGGTTAAGGCGTTTGCTTTGCTCGTCACGCTGAAGACCCGGGTTTGATTCCACATGGGGGCACAACACGTGAAGTCCAATTATGGTTTCCTCTACCGTGATATTGCTAAAAGCGGCGTAGAACCAAACTCACTCACTCGCTTATTGTTCAAAGTGAGAAATGCAAAATGGAATATATCGAGTCTAGGCGGGATAATGGTCAAAACTCCCATATATTTCATTTGGCAGTAATATTGTCACTGATTGTAAAAAAATTACACTGTCAAATGATCAAAACATTATATTAATGAATATGAACAATGAACCTTCAACTGGTGATATGTTATGGTGAAAAGTGTTCATGTTCAGCAACCTATAATCATGTCATGTATCACATTTGCCTCATACCCGTGAAGGTCCGGGTTAGAATATTGGCCTTCAGTAATCCATGCTTGTCGTAAGAGGCAACTAACGGGATCGGGTGGTCAGGCTCGCTGGCTTGGTTGACACGTGTCATCGGCTCCCAATTGTGCAGATCGATGCTCATGCTGTTGCTCACTGGATTGTCTGGTCCAGACTCGATTATTTCCAAACCGCCGCCATATAGCTGGAATATTGCTGAGTGCGACGTAAAACTAAACTCACTCACTCATTTGCCTCAAAGTCAATTTGTTGCAGCTTTAGTAAATATGATGGCATGTAGGGCATGTAGTTGCTTAAAATGTTGTCAAAAGACTTCATGCCTGTAGAGGAAACCTGTCCAGGTGCCACACATACCAGTAAATGTCAGTAGGTTGTCAGTACTGTTTGAACTCGCTTCAGACCAGTGCACCATCTTGTGAT